TGTCATTGTCCCTTATTACATTGCTAATCAATTAATAATTTGTTATAAAGTTACACTAATAACAATAAACACACTTGATAATTTAAAATAATTGAGTTATATTCATACAATATTTTTTTACGTATTCTCTTTAAAAAATATAAACCTATCATTAATCAACACAATTAAGTCTTTTCATCATAAAATAAAAATAGTTCAAGTTCAGGGGAAAACAAATATTATGATCAAATTTTTTTTCAAGACAAAATAATATTATGAAAATTTTAAAGTACAAAAAAAAAACTTCCTATACGTTGATAAGGTTCCTTAAAATGATGTCATCTATATATGCTTCATTCATAATCCACGAAACTAATAAAAATAATATTTATTTTTCCCGAAATTTAGTCCATATCAAACGAAACTACTCATAAATATAAAATTAACTACAATTTGATTTTAATTAATAAATCACAAATAGATTAAAAAATATACTTGTAATCTTAAAGACTAAGAAGATAATGAGATATTGATTAAGATATTTTTAAAAAATATATATGAAATAGGTAACATCTTTAAAAAAAGATACTAAAGTATTATATATATTCGTGTTATTGCACATGGTGAGATATTAAAAATAATATTAGTTGATCAAAAAATTCTCTTAACATAATTTATATATTATATACATATGTATTTGTGGTGAAGTTTGTCAAATTCATATTTCTATCCTTATATTTATTTTTAAGATCTTATACACATAAATATATTTTTTGAACTAAACTTCTCTTTTCCTATATTTATTTTATATTTTATTGTTTGTTCTCTATTTAATGAATTTAATAAAAAATGTGTAATGACTTCATCTCTTTTGAATGTTGTCTTCAACATCTTTAAAAGCTTGAAAATAATTGTTTTACTAATTTCTTCATTCTAATACAAAATATACTTCAAATCATATTCATTTTAATTATCTTTGTTTTGTTTTTTCAGAAGAATAAAAATTAAAAATAGTGGAAGAACATGAGGTACATAAAATATAACACATAAAAAAAAATTCATTTAGTAAATTTAGAGGTAGAAGATGAATATCTAAGAGGATTACAATTTTAATCGAACCCTATTGATAATGTTTAACTGTGAAACAAAGTTTATCTAGTTAGTTTGATACATAGAAAATTAGAAAATATTTCATCCGCGTTTTACGCGGGAAATCACCTAATTTATTATTATAATTATTAGTCGTGTAAGTCAACCGATTAATTTAGTGGATTTGATCATAATCACACAAAAAGATACTTTTATATTTCTAAATGACCACTAAGACTGACCAAAATCTACTTTTTAAAAAGAAATCATTTTCTATGATATTTCTTTTGTTTTAGTCTATTAAACTTGAATATGGAAGATAGCATGACGAAAGGGGCATTTTTTTAATTGATATCATCGTTTTCAGTTGAGTCCTTTTTATTAAATTGTTTTTTTTTAAATGTAATAAAGGCACTCTGTTTAGTGGACCATTGTGTGATTTGTGAATCCGATTTGCTTTTGGACAAAATCTAGAGACAATAACAAAAAATTGATAAAGTATTTGGGGGTGGATCCCTTATTGTCTTAAATTCAATATCTTCTACAGCTAATTGTGAGGGGGGGGGGGGGGTGGACTAACAAGATGTGGTCTCAAATTATTTAGAAGCATGCATAATATAATAGCTTATGTCGATGTGAACTGAGAGATATTTTGGTTATAAATAGATTATAGAAAAATTAGATTGTTAATTTTAGAAATAAAATGTATCATGAGATCCTTAAAAATAAGGGCCAAACAAAAAAAAATCCCTAAATGAAAAGAGAATAAGCCTCGACGACTTTTATTTCATTCTATAGTTATCTCTTTACTCATTTTCATTTTATATACCAAGATAAATATTATTACGTATTTCCGATGAAATTGCTTATGCGCTAATTTGAACGAAAGTTTACATCATATATTGATATAAAATAGCATGCTAATTAACTAAATAGGTGGATATATACAACAAGACCACCTCCATGTTGATATAAAATAGCATGCTAATTAACTAAATAGGTGGATATATACAACAATACCACCTCCATTGGGAGGTTGTTACAAAAGTGTAATATTTAATTATAAGAAATATTAATAAATAATTATGGGGTTCTAAAAAATGGAGAAAGAAAATTGTAGAATATGTTGTTTAAGAAATTTTTGATGGTATGTTTTTTAATTTTAAGAAACTTATACAATATTGTATTACTATTTATTTTTCTAATATATTTGTAGAAATTCTCTTACAAACCATGGATGGAGGTGCTCTTAGTTAGAAATAATAATTATGAGTATCTATGTTGAGCATGAGTATGAACAAATTGAGAGAAACCATCTCCGAACTTGAAGATATGTAAGATTTTCAAATTTGGAAATTAAAATTTTATATGTTTGCAGATATTCAAAATTGATTTGTCTTCATCTTACTGCCAAGTAATGTACTATTATCATCTTATTTTTTAGTCATATTTGGTTAACAAGATTTTCATTTGCGACAAAGGGGATACTATGCTGTATATTATCATAATTTTAATTTTATTTCAGTTTTTTGATTGGTGACCATATGGTGTGATTTGTGAATCCCTTTTGGACAAAATCTATAGAGAATAAAATCTTCAAAAGTTGCGGAGAAGCATCCGTTATATTTCGTAACATCTTCTAGTCAATCGTGAGAGGACTTAAGACCAAAACACGAAAAGTTTAAAGAATCCATCAATTTTATCAAAAAGAATGCCAATACGATGGCTTCACGCCTAACAGCTCCAAAATCATGGAAGCAAAAACCAAAAAAAACGAGTCAATTAAAATGTGAAGAAAATCTTTTCCACATGCTTTTTATTAGTACTTTAGGTTATAGTAACATCAATGCAAAGAGAAAAAGTCATTAATATATTCACAATTTTTATAACTTTTCAAAAGTTCGGTTCACTTCTAGAATACGTCTTATATGTAAATTTTTTTTGTTAAAG